CTGTCAGGGAGCCAGATCTCTATGTAACTTTTCTTTTGCTAATATGTGTTCTAGTGGTAGAAACACTGAGCAATAAAATTGTCACAGAGTGAAAGCAAAAAAAAGAAAAAAACACCGTCTCAGGTGAATCCTACCTTTTTGTATCCTGTGAAATTAATTTGCATGTCACTTATACCAAACAAGACTTAATTGTACCTTATGTACTACCCATGAAAATAACTTTGCTAAGAAAAATAACTCAGTAGATGTGAATAGAATAGGGCCTACTTCATCTACGCAAAGAATAAATTATTATTGAATACTTTTGGCAGATTATATGAGAATCACTAATGTTCCTGGCCTATAAACAGATTAAATATAATAGGTCTCCCTGCCAATTTTTGTGTTTGTTAGAACCCTTATCTATTATATACATACATATTTTCCCAAAATTCAAATTGGTTTTCCTCTAAGTTAGTTTAGATAAGTGGGGTTTATTGAATAGTTATTCTTAAGTGGTTAAATTGATTATGGAATAGAAGTAGTTCAAGCAAAACTATTAAGAAATCTCTGTTTTAAAAGAGTGTTCTTAAATGAGCACGTTGACTCAGCACTGAGTATAGATAGGCATATATTTATCATTTATATTTTAGATTATTTTCCTGCTGCCTTATTTTCCAAACAGGATGAATATTTTACATTTCAAATATCTCTATGTGTATTTCATAGAAGTAGCTGCTGAAAATTCTGTTGAAATTGCCTTTTACTAGCAATAGAATTAAGGATTTTAATTACCAAGATACACCCTGATGTGTAGCGTGATCAAATGAAATTATGTTGATAATTGAACTGTTGGTGTATTTTATGTGCTTCTTAAAAAGTTTCCTCCTTTCTCTTCACTTATCACTTCTCAATATACTTTACTCTTTTCTCTCATTTTTCTATACATTTAAATTTCTTTTCATTGTATTCTCAGTGACTGAACACAATGCTATAGCTTTATCTCCAGTTGCTCTCTCAGTGAAGTCTTCTAAATCACTTAACGTAAAAGATGTCAGCATATATATATTTTTAAAAGCACACGTTAAGTGAAACTGATATTAAGACAAGATCAATGAAGCAAGATTGGTCTCTGCTGTACTCTCCAGAGACTAATTCCAAAAGTAGTTGACTTTATTTGCCATGGTTGACAGCTTCTCAGACTGCTTGAATAAATTTGAGTATTAATGTGCTTCCTGTCTATTTAGAAAGAATTACTATGCCGTCTGCCTCAGGAGGCTGCTTTATTTCCAGATTTAATTCAGCACAATATGATGAGTCCCAACTTTTGAGTTAGGCGTCCTATTTACAAAACATGTGTGATTTAATAAGTATGTGTTCAACTCCCTCTCTGAGCAACAGGCTGTGCTACACATAGCAGGATATACAAAGGTATGTAAGGAGTATCTTCTGCAAGCTTCAAAACACTTAGACCCAAGATAGTCGAGAAGAGAGAGTGACATGCAATGGAATTGGGTGTGATGTGCCATTTGTTTCAAAGTTACATAGAAGATGTAGTCTTAAGGGGGGTGGAGGGACAAACTTCCATTGAGTACCTGCAGACACTGCATGTACATCTTCATCTCCACAGTAGGCACTTGAGGTAAATGATGCAACCCACATTTTACAGATCAGACAAATTAAATCACTCCCTTAAAGTCATTCTGCCAATTGTGTCAACATAATAGTGCCTGGCACATAGTATGTACTTCATGAATGGTTTTGAATGTTGAATAAATCTTTCAGGGAAGCAATTTTCAACATACACCAAGAGCCTATATGTGCTTTGAACCAGCAATTTTATTTCTAGTAATTGTCATAGATGTAAAGATTGTGTGTATATGTGAGGCAGGAGGTTGGTAAAGAGGCAAAGTGTAGAGAGCTGTATAGGAGGTGACCTTTAGTTGTGAGGAAGGTGTCTAGACTAGACTCCCAGATTTCTGGCTGGATTAAGGACCTGGGCAGATATTGGGGTTGTTCACTAAGCAGGGGACCCAAAGGAAAAGCAGGTGTGAAGGGAAAAGATAATGAGATGAGGTTTTGACTTACTGAACTCAAGATAATTTTGGGTCATTCTGTTGGAGTTTTCCATAAGAAAACCTATGGGCCTGGAGCTCAGCAGCATGACCTAGTGAAAGATAAGGATTTGGTTATGGAAGTCAAGAGCTGGATGAGATTGCTCCAGAGAGAGTCTGTAGAATGCAAAAGAGAAGAGAGTGAGGGGAAGAACCCTGGGATTATAGTTTGAGCAAGAGGATCCCAGATAGAAGAAAATAAGTCAGCAGAAGATCTTGGTCAATAGAAGAGAAATATTAAAGATTTAGGGAATTGTCAACAGAGCGAAATGATGTACTCAGAATTTGTAATCCAGCTGGGAAGTCATTGCATCTACAGGTGAAAAAGTCAAGTAGGAGAAGAGTTGCCCGTGATTGTACTTAATTAAGTAACCAAGAAGGATATAGATATTATTTAGGGAGTTGAGTGGAGGGAGAGATTGGAATTGACGTGAAGCTTAATAAAGGTGATGGGACTTAACTTGGCCTAAAATGTGGGTAGAATTGAAACTGGAAGAGGTTATTTCAACTGAGGAAATGAAATTTGTTCAAATTCATCCTGATGCCTGAAAATAACAAGGTGGATTTCCTATTTGCAGTAGTCAGCAATGTCATCTTTCAACAGTGAAGACAGCACCTAGTTCTCTATGAGTTATAATGACTCCTGCTAAACAGTATCATATAAAACTGAGTGTGATGTTACCTGACATCATGTGCAAGATTAATTTCAAATAACAAAGCAGCAAGGCTTATGTGTAGTGGGTTCATTCCAGAAACACGATGTGAAGATCATGCAGGTCAATTCCAGTGGGAAAAGGCAAGTCTTGGTTATACACCCTCTTAATTTTATAGTAGCTAATTCTAAAATCCTTTTGATGTAAGGCAGCTATTCCTAGTGGTGAAGTTGCAGCTTCCCTGCCATATCTTTTCCCAGTCCCCTGGTGGCTAAGCTGTGAATAAATGGAAGGAGACAGAAAAAGGAGATTTTCTTGTGCCCTCTCCCAACTCCTCTGCGCCCTTCTCCATCTTCCTGTTCCACCCCATTGGCCTCTTCCTTTTTTGAGAAAACTTGACTTTCGATGTGGCATGGGTAATAACTCTTAATTTACCAAGAGGAGTACCTTGAGGACAGAAACGGTCAGGCGTTACCTTGAGAAATAACCTGTCAAAACCTATCTGTATACCAGTCTGCCCACAATTCTGTCTTAGTGATTGCTTCTCTGGACCAGCACCGTATCTGCAAAGAACAAGGTAGAGAATAAGGAAAAGTCACTGGAAAACCAGGCTCAAGTTCTGTCCCTGTCACTTCCCTAGTGATACAGTCTCGTGCAAGCCTCTTAACCTCTGCTAGTCTCAATCCTGTCAGTAGAATTGTGACAATCAAGTGAGATAATATTTGTGAAGGTGCTGTATGATTGCAAAGTGCTATTCAAGTGTTGAGCATATGGATAGGCTATTATCATAGTTATGAGTATGATGTGAAAGCAAAGGGGACCAAGATTTCTCCTCCTAAATCTGTTCTGAAGACCGAGACCTTTCATTCCAACCTTGCATTCAACCAGATTTACCTAGAACCTGCACTTCCTCTGCTCCCTGTTTATCTGTGCTGATTTATCTTGGTTCATGTAGTGCTTGATGCAACTGAGTAACACTGAGTTAACCCCATTCTCCTCCCCTTAGTGCATAATTGAATCCCTTGAAATCCATCATTAAAGAAGAAAAATGGAAAAACATTTACTAAGTGCTTCCTCCAGTCAAGGCACTTTCTTTGCCTGAGATCCTTTTCCACAAACCACAGACAGTGCCCAAAGAGGAGAAATTAAGAAACCTTTGCCACTGAGACCAGTGGAAATTGCATTTCTATTAAAAGCTGTCTGTGGCTGGATGTATCCATCCCAGGTACAAAGTTAAATGATGTAATAAACTTATTCAAAGGCATAAAGCCGTTATATAAAATGCCATTAAATATCTCACACTCAATGTTAACAAAATACAGCTATAAATTTCCTTTGGTTGTCATTTTGCAAGTTGCTATTTCTCAGTGATTTATGCATCGGCAAGTTCTTCACTATTGAATATTGCTGCCCAATCCTGGCAAATGGGATGTCAGGAATGTGTGACCCTTTGAGATGCAATGGCTTTCAACTTTCTTGGTATCACCACTCCTGAGTTTGGAAGTGCCAAGTTTCTTCTAGGGCTGGTTTCTATCACTGTTTTGTACCTGCTGGTTAAGTGTGGTCCTGAGGCTCTGTGTTTCACATACTAGAGATCAGAGGTAAGGAGTCCCAACCATCCGAGCCATGGTACAGAATTCAAGGTTGGGAGCAGACACATCTACTCTGTGCTTTGAGACTGGATCATAGCTCGTACATGAAGCTGTATATTTTGGGGTGTTCTTTACTTGCTGGATGAAGGGGTAAAATGAAGAAGAGGAGTTGGAAGGAATATATAGAGCATTCTGTCTAGAAAAGTTCTGTGGTCCCAGTTTTCCTATGGTTATTCACCAAAACCACAGGTCAAAATAAAATAACATAAGATCCAGATATGTCTCACTGAACTTTCCTAATTCTGTGAACTTGTCAATGCTTTCATTTACCTTTGCAAGCCAAGTTGTAAATCCAGACAGGCCCCATCCTTTTGAGCCTCATCAGATACTGGCAGAATGGAAATAACTGGCGTGTTAGTGATGGGATTATAAAGAAGCATTTAGGATTTTCCTAGGTCCTGCAGTCAATGGCTGTTCTTGCTGCAAGTGCGTCAGTCAAACCCAATCAAAAGAAATGTTGTCGGCCTGTTTCCTAGACACTAGACGAGCGGGCTTTCTGCAGTGTGACCTGCCTTCCTCTTACAGGGTACTCACCCTGCAGGAGTCTGGTCACTGTGGGTCAGCCGAGCCAGCTTCTGATGCTCCTGGTCTCCTCCTTTCAGGAAACAGCATCCTCCATTCAGCTGCCGACAGCGTGACCAGCGCAGTGCAGAAGGCAAGCCAGGCCTTGAATGAGCGCGGAGAGAGATTAGGCCGAGCAGAGGAGAAAACAGAAGACCTGAAGAACAGTGCCCAGCAGTTTGCAGAAACTGCGCACAAGGTGGGCCAAGAGAGGGGCGGGCTTCTCAGCTCTGGGGTGTTGGGGAGCTACAGTGCCAAGAAACTTTATTTCAGTATTTTCCTGTCATGAGATACAAAATTGAGCTTTTTATTTCCCCTTTATGTAATTCCCATCTGCTACTTACTAAACACCTGAGTCGTGGAAAATTTCTTCTTGTACCTGGTTTCTTTGGCTCTTTTCTGATGTCCTCATCCGTTTCTCTGACCTTCTGATCTTGGATCTTTAGGAACTGTGGACCATTTTTAGTTCCTGCTCAGAAGTTTAGGGCTCAATTATCGAGGCACAGAATAGTGGGCGGGGGAGAAGAGATCAGGTCTTCGAATATCCCTGCCCCACTTAGCCAACACATGGAGGACGTGAGGCTGCTGGTGCTTGCTTTTCCATCCTGTCCCTTTCTCATCCTGAGTCTGCCATTGTGTCCTTATCTCTTCACCAGACACAAAGCAAGCCCTAGTCCCAGGGAACTATGCACCTCGGGGCTAGTTTTCCCTCTGAGAGGGGTGGGTTGTTATTTCAGGGCCTCAATTCTGGGGCTCTGAGCTTGACCGGACCAGCGCTGAGCTGCCAGCAATACTCCCTGCTGCCCCTGCATCCAGAGAAGGGCATTTCCTGCTTGACTGAGTGCGCACTCTGCACATTCTCATACTGGCCGAGAACTGCGCCTTTTAGAAGGGAAAGGGGCAGTTTTTATTGGCAGCCAGCTATCTAAGGCAGTCATAAACCAAAGGAAAGAGAGGCCCTGTTGGTCAGGTGATAAAGAGGATTTATTACTGTTCTTGTGTTTCAGATCAAAGGGCAGTTTTTTTCTGGTTAGTGGTTTGAATTTAGGCTCCCAGAAACAACATCTGCTGATGACTTGTGTTGGCATGTCAGACTTACGATCTGGCCCTTAAAATACCCTTTTCAGGTGACCTTTTGGGAAAAAAAAAATAACTGGCTTTAACAGAAACCCCACTTCTGCTGAGGAAACAAAGATGGATAACCTAAAAAGCAATGAGAAAAATATCCCCAGCTGAGTTGCGGTGACCTCTTCTGGAGGCTCACGCTCAGGTCCAGCTGGGGATCCAGCTCTGAGTGGATGACTCCTGCCTCCTCTTCCTGCATCCCCTTTGTGCAACCCTGTCTTGTCGTCTTATTCATTCTCTGTCGTGACAGGGTCTTAATGCACTGTTGCCTGTGGGGCCCATTTCAAGTTCCTTCAGGGAGAATTGGCCAGATCTGCCTGAAAATGCAGACAGCCCTGCTGGAGGCCAGAGCCTCAGATTGCTGCTGTTGGTGCAGATGCAGAGAGAGTGAACTTGGATTTAAGGTCTCCCTAGTTCCTTCCTCCTTTCTCCAGTCTCTGTGACACAGAGATAATGATGACATGGAAATGCTGGCATTATAGCGTCAACTTCTTTAACAACAGCAGCAGCTTCCGTGATTTCAATGGGAGAACGGGTAGTGGAAATGTGGGGAAACATTTAAGTTACTGAGTTGGGTAGAGAAGGCTAAAGGGAATAACTTTATAACAGTCTTCAGTTCTAGGAAGGGTGATAGTACAGGCATTTATCTTTCATGTCTTCCCACACAGAATAGAGCAATCAATAGTGCGCTGATAAAATTCTGCTAAAACAAGAATTTAGGTTAATGATTAAACCATGAACCAGGTTACCAAGGAAGATTGTGAAATTGCTCTTCCTAAGGTGGAATAGACAATACCTGGATGTCATCCACGTAGGCGTCCCTCCCAGAGGGGGCTGTACAAACACTGGATTGGATCACCTAACCAGATGGCCTCAATTCTTGACCCTGGTAGCCCTGTTTCCCTGATACTGTGGCCAAGTTTGCTGGGTAGTTGGGAAAGCAATATGGAATAGTAGTTAACATCTTGTGTTTGAGTATAGCTCTGTCATTTACCATCTTGGTGACCTTGGGCAAATGCTTCATTTCTCTAAGCCTCAGTTTTCTCATCAGTAAAATAGAGCACTATTCTTTATGAGAATGGTACATACCTCCTAGAGTATTCAGAGAATTGAATGAGTTCAAAGCTATTAGCACAGTATGTAGTGCATATAAATCTAAATTACTATTATTTGTAATCATTTTCATATATATATATATATATATATATATATATTTTTTTTTTTTTTTTTTTTTTTTTTTTTTACTGACCCTGCCCTATTCAGTCACATAATGAGCATGGTTAAGGGATTGGAGAATTGATACTGGTGATTGAGGATCCTCAACACAGGGACAGGGAAGGAATGGAGGAGAAGATTTTGTACCTCCCAAACCCGAAGGGAAAGGGGGTGGGAGGGCCTCCTGCTAAATGCTGATACTATCTAAACACAGATCAGCCCTTGAAACAGGACCTATCAGGATAGAAACTAATGCAGCCACCAAAGGCAAAGGGGTCTCTGGCTTGACCAGTGGGAAAATGTATTTCCAGCAGTTACCTGCTTTCACTCGGGAGAGGTGAGGCATGGACAGCTTGTGTTTATTTTGGTTTCCCCTCCCTTAGGTAATCTTGGAGGGAAGAGGAGGGGTTACTAGTGTCTGTTAATGTGTATGAGAGTTGGAGAGTGTCATGGCCAGACTTGCAGTTGTCTGAAACTGGGATGTGTGCCTATGAATCACTGGCGCTGGCAGTATTCCTAACAAGCAGACTGACCTCTCTAGATAAGGTGTGGTTATTTTCCCAGGGCCTAGGACTCTTGATTTGGACCTGCTAGCATAGGCTGACCATGAAGATGTCATTTTACTGAACAAGCCACAGCCAGGCCTGCTGGTGAGGGGAGAGTTCAGAGATGGAACCCAGGCATTCTACCCACTAGACAAGCATGGCTCTGTTGACTCAGAAGGAGTAAGTTGTGCTTACAAGTGGGGGCCAGAACACATGGCAGAGTCCTGAGCAGAAAATGGCAATGCCAGGTGGCAGCTCCTAGAGCTGCCAGTTGAATAAGGGCACCCAACCCCAGCTGGAGAGTTTGGCACACCTTTGTAGAGTCCAGTAGAAAAGGGTCTTTGGCCTTCTAACTTGTTCCAGGACTCCTGCAATGACCCAGGTGCAAAAGTGAGTGAATCACTTTTGTATAACCCTGACTTCAAAATATGCAGGTGTTTGTCGTCTACAGTGCAGATAGAAAATGATCCTTTCCCCTCCACCCCCCCAGACTGACTCCCCTACCTCCACTCTGATGAGCCTGGTTTGAGGAAGTGTGGTTCTTTCTTGAGCTCCTGACTTCAGGCAAAGTTAACCTTAGGAAAGTGACCGCAATCACAGAATCAGATTTGCTCACTTTCCCTTGCCAAAAAGCACAATGTTGCAGCAGGTGCAGTGCTTTGACGGCCCCACCATAGGCAGTGAGTCAGTAGACAAGAGCGTTACCCACACTCAGACATCCTCAGATGACATTTCTTGCAGAAAAAAACATTGACCCGCCCTGTTTTGCACTAGCCTATGTGTGTGGAGGAAGAAAGGCCATGTGGCATATCTCTCACTGGGAGGGAATGGCTGCCTCTATCCTTACTACCTAAGGAGCTCAGGTCTGGGTCTTAGGAGCACAGGTCTTGTAATACATAGTATTATACTATTATATTATTATAATATAATACTATTATATAATAGTATTATAAAAATAAAATACATGATTTTATTATTTATTATTGTTGATAAATAATAAAATCGTGACTGATACCAGGGAGATATACTGATACTATATCTCCCTGGTATCAGTCACGATTTTATTATCATCATTTTTTAGGTTGAGTAGGTTACATGCGGAGCGTTGAAAGAGAACTCTTTCCATGAGATATTAAGAACACAAAATATATCAAAAGGAGATTTTAAATTTTAACAACTCTGACACCTAAATTTATCCATTGGCATTTAGAGTTGGAGACTTTTTTATAGACATAAGAGGAGGCTGAGGTGTGGAGCAGCTGTGACTTTAGAGCTCAAGGTCATACAGCAGATTTGTAGCAGCAGGTATCCTGACCTCATTTCATGCAGTGCTCTTTCTGCTCTACCTCCCTGCCTTCCATATTCTAACACTCCTAATTCCTAGGGAATTTTTAAATGAAAACTAAAATGATACTACTTTCTTAGTACATTCAGGCTGCTATAACAAAATACCATCAACTGGGTGATTTATATACAACAGAAATTTATTTCTTACAATTCTGGAGGCTGGGAAGTCAAAGATCAAGGTACTGGCAAATCCTGTGTCTAGTGAGGGCCCATTGTTTGATTCATACATGGCACCTTCTCATCATGCCCTCACATGGTAGAAGCGGTGAGGGGTCTCGCTTCAGCCACTTTATAAGTACACTAATCTCATTCGTGAGTGCTCTGCCCTCGTGACCAAACTGCCTCTCAAAGGTTCCACCTTCTAATTGTATCACCTTGGGGGTTAGGTTTCAACATAAGAATTTTGGGGAAACACAAACATTTGGTCTATGGCAATACTCAAATAGCAAAATGTTCAGTAACTGTATTTCTGCAAATCTCAGCTGGTCGTGGGCCACGGGCTCCCCTTAGCTCCATTCCAGATGTGCTGTCCTGGTTGCCAGAGTCTGGTTTGAACGGCAGCACAATCACTGCTGAAGATTAATGGCTGTGGGTAAATTGTCACAAGCCCATTAGTTGAAAGTTAACAGCTCATTGAATACCAGGACAGTAGCACTGATCAAATATTTATGGTCAGATATTTACTATGCACAACACTTAACCGCTCTGTGTTGATGTGATGGTCCATGTTGCTGAATAATGTATAAAAACTAGAAGCAGAGCAAGAAATAGAGGCCATACAGTGATGAGGTTCAGAGTGTGGCCAGGAAGTGGGACAGATCTAAGTTAGAGCCCTGGCTCTGCCATTTGCACCAAACTGGACTATATGTTTCCTGGACTATAAACTCTTCGGGGTCAGGAGTACTTAGCCACCTCTACCCTTCTTGGCAAGAACCCACATCACTCAGCACGACAGCCTGGGCACATTGGAACTTCCCAAGCCCTGTGTCTGACAGTTGACTGACTATCGGTTTCAGCATTGCAGAACATCTGTGGAGGTCTTCACCGGCATCACCAGACAGAGGTACCGGGAGCTCTTTCAGCTGAGGTTTCCCAAGCAGAGATTAACTTATCAACATGAGGACTGGTCCAAAGGTCCCCTCTATCACATGCAAACCTGGCCGGGGACACTGCTTGTGAGTGTTGACCCTGCCTTTGCTGGTGGCTTAGCTGAGATGGCAGCCCCAGGGTTATAACTTACTTGTTGCAGATGTCAAGAAGAGAAAGAGAAGACTCAGGTTGCCCTGGATTTTGCTGGAGAAATGGATTAGTGACATCTTCTAAAATGATGCAGAGCACCACTGGGTGAAATCAGTAGGATCGGCCTTACTAATTCTTAAAAGGCAGAGAGCCTGGCCAGGATGCAGATGACAGGGCTTTCTGCAAAGTTATTGCCTGCAGAGAATCACCTGTTCTTTGCTCAAAGGATTTCTGAGCCACAGAACCCTAACCCCAGTTGTTCCCAGCCCCAACCACAGGAATTAGTCCCTGATATCAAACTCTGGATACATGAGGAGTTACAGTTCAGCCTCTGCTCTGCCTTCTGGTTCACATCACTGTGTGGACTCCTTGGGAAAGATCTGGCTAAGAAAAGTAAAGACAAATTTAATTTTATATTCTGTACCTGCATATCATTTCCTTAAATACATTATCGTGGGCTGGCAGGCCTTGGGAAAATATTGACTGATACTGTGGTATTTTATGTTCCCATTTAAAAGACCTAGTATTTTAATAGACTATGTTTTACAAACACCAATGGGAAAGGCATAAATCAAAGTCAGGATTTGGTGTGTTTTGGCCCTCGTCAATAACACAATTAAATTGTGAAGGACTGTGGACTTGGTTGAATGTCCAGGCTGCATATTAAATAGATGGTTGTAGATTGTCTCACTAAAAGCTGTTGATTTTTAATACTTCATGAGATGCCAGTAAATACAATTCAGGGGTGTCGCTTCTCCTGGATGGCTGGGAACCCCAGCTGTTCCTAGGGTAATTCACTCATTCTGCCTGTCCATTGGTTTTTTCATTTGTTCCTTCAGTGTGATGAAAGAACACCACACAGCACTCCCTCCCGCCTGGATGCATACACCAGCAAAGCTGTCATAAGGAAGAGTAACAAATGAAATGTCCCAGGAACTATTTGAGAAAATGTTGCACATTTAAAGGTGCTACTGTAATTAGTAATGGTGATCTGCCACAGAGAGTAGAATTTTGTGCTGCTTCGCATTGTGGAGGTGGAGAGGGAGCAGCACAGGGAAATCTCCCTGCTAATAAAGTCTTACTTTTCTCATTCCTCTCTCTCCTTAGCTCGCCATGAAGCACAAATGTTGAGAAACTGCCTATCCTGGTGACCCTTCTTAAGAGAAACTGAAGAGTTTGTTCAGCAGTTTTTACAAGAATTCGGGACCTCTGCTTGCTTCTTTTTTCCAATATTTGGACACTTAGCGTGGTTTTTGTTTTTTCTTTTCAGATGTTAATGTGAAAGAAAGGGTGTTGCATTTTTACACTTCCCTAATGATCTTGCTAATAAATACTACAACAGCATCAGCTTCATTTTGGGTTTTTCCCTCCCCCCACTGTGTGTATGTGTGTATATGTATGAATATGTTTTCTTTATTAAAAAATATTTTTTGTAGTTCGAATGTGAAATTTGGACCAAATGATAAACTGCGCTGGGTCTAAACTGGCAACATGTATTTTTTTCTCTGACATGAAGCAGGAAGACATTTTAATGTGGTGACATCAGATGTTGTTTTTCCTAGATGAAAATGAAAGTCAAGCAGTGCTTAGTTTCACTCACTGTCCTTGCTACACTTAATTTGAAGATTAAAATTCTACATTGTAGAAAACAATTGGATTTATTGGGGAAAACAGCAGTCTTAGATTTTGCTCCTTGCATAGTAATCTTTTGCATGAACCATCACCTGCATTCAAAAATAAAAAATCAGAATCACAGATAGAAATCTCTTTCCTGAGTTACAGCTTAAATACTCTTGCTACTTATATCCAGGGTGTTTATTTGGAATTATCATATGAAGGATAACAATTTGAGAGTAAAGGCCTAAAGAAAAACCTACCTAAAACCCTCTGTGCATTCACAGATGTTTCTCTTGTCATTGTCATAGTGATGGTCGCTGGTATGGAAAAGCGCTTATATTTTTATCAAAAAATTGATTTGTCCAGATAAAGGTCTGTGTCAATGATAATGTGAACAAGTAGTACATTTAAAATATTTGTCTTGTCTTTTTACAGTCATGCCTATTTTAAAGACACCTTCATAATGTCCTTGGGAAAGGGCCTTTAGTTTCTTGGTATCTGGATTTTGGAGGTTTTGATGTTGTTTTTGCTATCTATTTATTTAATGTAATTTAACCTGTGAGTTTCTTAACAAATTGCATTTCATGGCAGTTGCACCTTGCTTGGTCTGATATAAAACACCACAATCACGAACCTTTACATTGCAGTCAGTTTCAATACAGTTAGTCACACACCTCGTGATTTTCTATTACTCAAGATAATAAGGGGCTTAGAGTCTAGAAGTTTTGTTTCCTAGAGGGTTAAAATGCTAAACATAAAAAAGCTGTGCTTTTTTATGAAACAAGGAGACAAGCTGCACATCTCAGACCTATTGTAAGCCTACCACTGCAGCGCATTGATTTTTAAGCTGCCTGAATCTTCAGGACCCCTATCTATTCCATCCTATCCATTTTGCCAATTGAGTTGATGTGTATTGCAGCCTCTTACATAGGAGCATAAGATGATTTTTGGATTGTTAATACTGATTTAAATAGCTTAAGTTCTCCTAACTAAGCATTCCCAGGGAGAGAGAAAGTTTGTCTGTTGGGGGAAAAAATATCAGATGGTGCACATTAAAAAGGAGATGAGATTTGTTGGAGACAAATTTTAGAAACCTTTTAGATGATCCAACTCAAGAAAACCCTCTATAAAATTTAATAAACTATATAAGTTAACTATAATATTTTATACTTTCTTGGTGTCTTAAAAGTTTAAAGAAGCGAGGAACATGCCATTTGGTGAGTACTGTTGGAAGCTATTTTAATTTCTAGGAAAAGCCCCAAATATCACTCCAAATAGACTTTGCAGACCTCAGCTCAGAATACACACACACACACACACACACGCACACACACACACACACGCGCGCACACACACACACACACACAGAGAGAGAGAGAGAGAGATGTATTTATCTTTCCAAACGGGATTCTGGTTTCAGAGAGAGAGAGTTGGTATAAATAATTGAAAGGATAAATCTAAAACCCCCTGACAATCCGCCAAATTCAAGAACAGAATTAGTTGCCAACTCTCTAACAACAGTGTTTGGGAAGCTGCTTCTAAAGTAGCTGAGGATGAGGTCATAAGCATACTGTGAAACCCAAGATTCTTCTTCCCTGGTAGAATTATAATAGTTACTCTTGATACATGTAACTATTCCATGAGTTGCCCTCTTTCCTCACTCTCTGCTTATCCTTTTAGACCTAAGTCTCATTGGAAACAGCCTGAATTAGAAGAAAGCCCACCTGAATCTTTATTAGCCCCTCTAATGATTAGTTTCCAGGCTGTGTTCACACCTTTGACCTCTCAGTGTCAAAGTCCTACCTAGGCCTCCCCACAACAGAGAGGGCTGTAACAGCAATCCCTGCCCCTCCTTTACCTCCCAGCCTCCTGCAGAGGAGCCCAGTGATAACACATGTGAAGTTCTTTGCTATCCTTTTGTAGAAGGTGCTGCAGTACAAAGTGTTTTTTTTGGTTTTTTTTGTTTTGTTTTTTTTGAGATGGAGTCTAGCTCTGTCGCCCAGGCTGGAGTGCAGTGGCCGGATCTCAGCTCACTGCAAGCTCCGCCTCCCGGGTTTACGCCATTCTCCTGCCTCAGCCTCCCCAGTAGCTGGGACTACAGGCGCCCGCCACCTCGCCCGGCTAGTTTTTTGTATTTTTTAGTAGAGACGCGGTTTCACCGTGTTAGCCAGGATGGTCTCGATCTCCTGACCTCGTGATCCGCCCGTCTCGGTCTCCCAAAGTGCTGGGATTACAGGCTTGAGCCACCGCGCCCGGCCAGTACAAAGTATTAATACAGTCTGACTTAGACAAAATAACTCTCATCATTTGGGACCAGTTTGTTTGGCTGAGCTTGTCAGAAGACATTTCATTTGTTTGTTTCATTTCTGCACTTCTCTATGGATTTTGGGATACTGTATTTCTGCGAAGGACTTACTGTATGGACAACTCATAAAGGAAAAAGCTTTCCAGTATTACCACTTCTTCCTGGAATATAGCTATAGTATTTCTCACTAGTATTATTAGATACCTGTGTACAGAAAGTATGCAGTTATTCAGGTTAATGTTTCATATTAAAGAATGTATTTGTAAAATGTAACATGATCAGTAGTTACCTTTTTTCAAGCTCTGAAGAAGTTCAGATTACGTGTTAGACTTCAATTACAGTGAAATCTGTTTTAATACTACTTTTGTGGCTAGCAAAGGTTGTGTATCTATTTAAAATTATTTACAGGATGCCCTAAATAAAGGGCATTAAAGATAGGTTTAGCTCTTAATTTTAGAAATTGTGACACTACTGATGTCTGTGGTACAGTTATTAATTCTTCAGAAGTTCTCTGAGATGTCAAATACAATTTTTGTTTAATTCAGAGATAAGTAACACCTGCTTTATTGATTCACTATTACAGCAAATCCTAATTTTGTCATTAAATATTTTAACTCTGTGATGAAATTTGTTTCTTGCAGTTATTTATGAAATCTATAAAACACTACCAGATAAGTACATGTCACCACATTTTTTATACTAATAGGAAAATCTTATGTGCCTAAGGGGAAACCTCAGAACTAGTATTAGCATGTGATAAAATGTCATTACATATGTTCTAATAGAAAAGCTTGGAATGTAATAAAGACTAAAGAGCTAACCTTAATCTAGACAATGGGCATCTATTCAGCAAGTTTTTTTTTTTTTCCTTCTCCTGGGTGAAGCAATTAAGCTGATTAATAATTACCTTTCTCCCGATATTAGTGATGTGTGCCATTCGAGTTCATATTATAGCATGTGCCCTCATTCAGCGAACTAGTTTCATGCCCTGTTAAATTGGAAAGAAGACTTGCTTGTATTGTGTCAATTTATTTTTATGGGAAAGCAAATGCAACATATTGCATCGCCCCATTTGTTTTCAAGGGAAGTGATTTGGGCGACTACTGCAGCAGAACAGCTGTCTCTGGGTTGGCGTGGACGCTCGATAAAGCAAGGGGGACTTGGAGAGATTTCCTGGGAGGAGTGCAGGTGGAAAGGAAAGACTGCAGTCTTCACTTTTCAGAGAAGAATGAGTAGAGATATGGTTTGGGTAGATGAGGACCCAGCCTTAAGTGAATTATGCATTTAAAGGCACTTGCTCTTGTGAACTAAATTATAAGCCGATTGCCCTGCAAAGATTATCCTTTTTTAATATAATTTTTATTAGCGATTACACCACAACCAACTCTCAAATTTTATGGGAGGATTAATATAAGAAATCGGTGGTGCCTTTCCCCTGCATCAATGAGAACATGCTTAGGAAAAACGATTGACTTACCATAATCATCATCTGCCTCAACAAGCAGATTGGGGCAGATGTGGGGAAACAGAAGGGGAGGCGCGGTGGAAAACACCAGAAATAAATTTCAAGATGCAAATGTCTGAGTATTGTTTTCTGTTGCTACCCATTCTGTGTGCCTTTCATAGGCTAACTTGTGTGGTAGCCAGAAGTACGTATGCATGTTCACCTAAGCACTCTCAGCAGGCGTGGAGAAGAGAGCTGTGCGCTGCTCTTGCATAGCCCCGAGTCACTCTATACCAGCTTCCTGCCCGTCTTGGCACGGGTGGGCAGGGGACAGTACTTCCTAGTGCCAGTGAAATTGTGTCAGTGCTACAGGTGGACCATTATCAGAGCATGAAGACAAGCAAAGATGTAAGACACACGGAAAAAGGACACAACCCACCCACAAGGCAAGTCTCACGTTCTCTAAACGTGAATGCACTAACAGTCCTCTTTAACAAGATGGTGCAAAGGATGGGTTTTCTTGTGGTTTGCTTTCTTAAAATCTAGAAAATACATCTAAAATGGTTTTGTATAACCAAACCAACCTGATGCTAAATTTGCCTTCATTTATACCTTCGCCCCAACCTTTTGAACAGTCTTCTTTCTCCTGTTCATACCCTCCTTGCTTCCTGGCCCTTCTTAAATCCTGCTTTAGCTCTCCCTAAGGCGTTACCCATAAATAAAGTATTGGTTTACAGTGGCTTCTTAGAGCAGTTCCTCCACCCTGGCTGCCTGCCACAACGAATTGGGGAGCTTTTAGAAATAAACACATTTTACTCCCAAATTTGCCATTTTGATGTCCTTGGTCATGTTGTGTTTTCTAAAGGAAAAAAAAAAAAAAAATTCCAGTAGGTCTGGGATAATCAGGCACCTGGCTTCCCCGGATGTTTACTAGATTTTAAACCAGCAAATTAAAGCTGTTGAGGGCCAGGCTCATGCTTGTAATCCCAGCACTTTGAGAGGCTGAGGTGGACAGAACACTTGAGCCCAAGAGTTCGAGACCAGCCTGGGCAACATGGTAAAACCCCATCTCTACAAAAAATACAAAAAATAGCCAAGCGTGGTTGTGCACACCTATAGTCCCAGCTACTGAGGAGGCTGAGGTGGGAGGATCACTTGAGCCTGGGATGTTGAGGCTGCAGTGAGCCATGATTGTGCCACTACACTCCAGCCTGGGTGACAGAGCAAGACCTTGTCAAAAAAAAAAAAAAAAAAAAAAAAAAAAACCTGTGGAGAAAATTAAATATAATGTGCATTTAAGCTATATTACTACTATAGTGTAACCTGCCTTAACCCCCGTTTTATTTTCTCCCTTGAGCCTCATCTGGAACCTCAGGATTTCCAGAGTTG